TAAAAGTATGTATGTTTTTATGTCTGAAAGTCAAGATAAATAAAGTAAAGATACACTTCTAGCATAAAAATTAGAGACTGCTTAGCTGCAGGTGTCTACTAGAGACAGAATACTAAACATAGGTAGCATTGTCCTGACATACTACAGTATAATTCCATGGCATACATTCACTATCAATCAGATTGTTGTCCTACTGCAGAAATATGAGCCAGTATACATTTCTCAGGAGGTCTAGAAGAAGGTGTAATTTCATGGACCTACTGACATTAAATTCTTCACGTAGGGAAAGCAAATCAATCAAAACCAGATAAAGAGCTTGTAACTGTTTTCATTTCCACATTTGTGGTGTACAATTAAGTACGAACAAGAAACTCATAAAAAGCGATGATTCAGATGTGTATTTGTTCACAAAGTAATGTAACCTTCCAAGTCGTTGCTGGTGTCTATAGTTTTTGCTCATTTTAGAGGGTTCTGTTGAAGAACCAGGGGAACTGTATGAAAGAGTCTATAGATGTAATGAAAGCATTCTTTTAAGACCCTATGCGGACAATACAATCCGGAGATGCATGCATGCATGCATGCATACAAGGGGCTGGAAGGTTGTCCATGGTGCGCTAGTGTTCAGGGAAGGTGTGGGGCAAACATTTCAAAGGAGTCCGAGGCAAATCCATTAGAGGCAATAGTCTAAGACTGGGTGATCCATCCTGATGAAGACGAACAAAGTTAAAAGCCGGAGTGGGATCCGGCGGAGGGAAGGGGGAATAAAAGAGGGGTCACGGGACAAGATGCTCCCTAATCCCGGACTCAGAAGGTCAGGAAGCTGTGATGAAGCCTGTGCTATCGAGTTGCTCCTGGACTCACGGATAGGTGGGCTTCCAAGCGTCCATCATCCACAGCTGAACCCAGATTGGCAGGAATGCCTAGCTTTTATAGGACAGGGGGCAGGAACCGGAGGCAGGTGCAGAAGATCAGTTGAAAACAAGGAAGGGCTGGAATGTCCTTAAGAGGAGGGGTATACGAGCGTGACAATAGAGGAGAATTAAAAATCAACTGAAAACTAAATGCGGTTTTGTAGGATTCTATGCAAATCCTTACAAACTAACTTTAATGGTGTGAGCAAAATTCTAGAAAACTAAGGAGAAACTAAAATAAAACTTTCTAAATTTGAGCTCACACATTTTAAACAACATAAGCAAGTGCTGCACAGACAAGCGGAATGATAACCTGATTGTTGTGTATAACAGAATCAGTGGGGAGGACATGAGTTTTTAATTGCCAAAGGACTTCACTTGTAATTTTTGAGTGCAGCCTGACTGCATAGCATTACATTGATGAAGTGCTGTCATTCTTGTATGCCAGGTCTCGGCAACCTACATGTTAACATGCAAACAGCATGTGCAATGAAAGCACAACTCTTCCACAACTGACGTACACAGTATGAATAAAGTTTTATTTAATTTAAATACAATTGGTAGGATACCATCAGGCTTGGGAATTAATTAATCCTAAGTGTATTTGAAACCCTTCTGCCTCTTCTGGGCTAATAATATTTAACATAGACATAGAAATTTGTCCTTTCTTTGCCTAAGGTATGTTGTTGACTTTCTTAGTTAACACCTGGGTGATTTCACTAGTTGTTTGATCACAGGGTGTGGGCATATCAAATATTGATGGAACTTATGAAGTGCATCTCTGAAGCAGGATATAATACCTGCCAAGTGGTCAAGCTGAAGCCTGTAGCTGCAGTGGTTAAATTTGGCTGACTGTTTAAATTTTACAAACAAGATGGCAGCCAGGCAGCTTTTGTTATTTGTGAGTGAACACCATTTTGCTAAATGTTATATGTGTTAAAATACATAAGAATAACCAAGAGTGAGTAGACATAAGAACATCTCTATTATGGGTGAGAAATACCCTTGAAAAGCCTGAGTTAAATCCTCTGCCTTTTTTCCTTGTTTTCCAGTTGGTATCACCATGATTTGTCTCGACATGCTGCTGAAGCTTTACTTCTATCAAATGGTAAGGATGGGGGCTATCTACTCCGAAAGAGCCATGAAGGTCCCAATTTCTATGCCCTATCTGTCAGGTATGATCATCTCATTGTTTATACCTTTGGTATTGATGTTTTGTAGTGTTGCAGAAATATAAATCTTGCATTTTACGCCAGAAAGCATTATCAGTACTATTTATTGTGGAAAAAGTTAGAAATTTAATCACCAGTGACGTGGATATTTGAGGTAATCTTAAAACATAATTTTCACAATTTCTGTTGTTATTTTTATAATACGCCTTTCCAGAGTACTTTTTGTTGGGCAGTTCATGGGTTTAAAATCTGCTCTCGACTCCCAGGAGAGGAGACAGATGACCCTGACCTGGTTCACTATATACCATTAGAGGGTTGGGGGTAAGACCCGCTCAGGCTCTGCTGACTCGGAATGTTTAAAAAGAGAGAATTAATTGAAAATTCACAGTTAAAGTTCTGCAAACACTACCATGTTAAAAGCAGCTTGATTAAAAAAATGTTGTTCATGTTTATTTTGCTTCACGCCCAGAAGACATATAAGATAAATTATTTACTTTTCACAAGAACTTGATCTGTTTAATTTCTTCCTTACAGGGCAAAAGATTCTGTCAAGCACTTTCAGGTGATACAGAAAGGCACTGGTTATTCCTTTGGTTTCAATGAGTTTCCAACTCTTAAGGAGTTTGTCAACCACTTTGCTAACCAGCCTCTTATTGGAAGTGAAACAGGTCAGCAACACCTTTTTCTTTTTCTTTCCAATTAGTATTCATTTTTATGTGGTTAATTATTAATGCAAGAGTTTATGAAAACTTATAGGAAGGTCACTATATTTCGTTTTGAAATAATTAATATTAAATTATTCCTTTGTGTTCCCAAACTTAATTCACATAATTTTATAATAAATGGCAAATCACTTTTCTAAACTGTAAAATGTACAGTACAAATTAATAGATACTCTACAGGATATTGTTGTTCTAAAGGATACTAAAATAAATCCTAGGCACTGACATAGTGCATTTTTGGTCAAAATCATGTTGTTGTACCCCTTACTAGCATTATAAGTCAGGCTACATTGTGTTTTTTCAATGAAGAAACACCATAAGAGCAGCTGAAGAATCTTTACTTGTAGATTCAGAGGGATGCTTACTATGAAACTGCAAGGATAACACCTGTTACCTTTCAAAAAACAGCCAGATACAATCTCTAGATTAATTCCTTACTAACAAGCAAGCGAACCAGTGGGTTCTTGTCTGTAATGTTTAATATGTATTTCAACATTAGCTAGTGTAAATATTGAGGAAAAATTGGTTTTGCATAAGGTCATCTGCATAAGGTTAGCTCATCTGATAAGTATATCTGCTTTTAATGCAGAAGAAGTCCTAGTTTAATAGTTTGTAGTTTAAACGTTTTGTCTTGACTAAAGCCAGTGTCACACTACAGGACAAGACTTCTAGTATATGACTCAAATTTAATGACAGCAGTAGCTGAATCTCGCTACTTTTTTTGTCCTAGAGGGTGTCAAATTATATGACTTGGAATCGCAGGGGGTGACTAATTACACGATAGGGGCTATTAAGAGAGCTATGACTGAGTCGCTGGGGGTGTCACACTACACAGCTGACGGTAATGGTCTGCGACTCTACAACTCGCTTTTATTCTCTTATGTAAATGATTATGTAAATGAAGGCTATGACTGAAAATACTATGAAAAGTCATGACACCGACATAACTGTGGGGTTTCTGACTTACCGTTCACCTGTTACTCCTGTCTGTGGGTGGATTCCTCTGAGTTTTTGGCCATGTCTTGTATCTTCCTTAGCTCAGAAACTATTATGGACTGAAAGCTATAAAACAGGAAAAATGATCTGATTTGTTTTTTCTTTGACTAGTCTGTCTATCATGGCAGAAAACGAGTAGTTTAATTTTAAATAGATTTTCTGGGGTGTGTGTAAAAACAAGACTATTAACTTTTCACAAACTTGTGTATTTTTCAAGTATATTCAGTTTACATCACACACCTATGGCTTTTTCTGGTAAAACACTTGAAATATCCATAATCTCTTACTTATTGTAAGATCCAGTCAGTGGTACAGCAAGTTGATTTTTTGCAGTGTTTTCCTTTCTTTATGACATTGTAGAGATGTGAGAGTTTTACTTTACTGGAACAGAAAATGGTCAACATCATAGGTTTTATTGATCACATGTAGTAATTTCACATTTATATTCTGAAATACAAGTAAATATGCATTTACTACCATGAACTAAACATCAAACGTGTTTGGTGTAATAGTTCAACTCTTCGAGAATTAAAATGTGAATGCAGACATTTTATACTCAGTGATCCTTTCACCGTAGTTTGATGAGTTTAAACTTCTCACTGAGAAGACAGAGATGGTCTAGCTTGGTCTGTGGTCTGACTAACAAACTGCTTGCTCTGTGCAGGGAATGTCCCAGTGCAGAGAGAAGAGAGGTAAAGCTATAGTGAGGGTAGCTCTGTAAAGAAGTAGTGTAACAATTCATTTTTTCTTCTCCCTTTAAATTTTGTCTGTGTACAGTTGTCTTCTTGGGATCTAGCTACAAGGTAGAGAGATGTGAGAACTCATGGTTCGTCCCAGCAATAGCTTGGTGCTGAATACACTGGGATGTTCATGATGTTGAGAAACTGTTATTTCGTTCATCGGGCGAAAATAACAGTGGGTTTACAAACACAAGATTTCTTCTTTTGCAGAAATCGCTACAAATCAGTGGAGCTCACCTGAGCTATGTATCATTCAGCATTCAGCAGATGGTTCAGCATTGGATACAGTTTTATGATATCTCCTATCAGAGAGGCTTCTTACGCACATTCCAATGCATTTACACTGGACTCAAGAGAGGCCCAAGCTGCTTGTTCAAGGCAACACAAAGATTATTAGAAATCTTTAATAACACTTAATTCTAAGTGTAATAATATACCTTGCTGCTATGACAAAGTGCTCTTCATAATTTAAACATTTTAAATACTAGTTTACAGTGGTATTGGAATATTCTTATCTTTTATTAAGCATGTAAGTAAGAAGATTCTGAAGATAATTAGGTTTATCTGAGGTGTTGTAATATAGAGATCATTATTTGAGGATTGAATATTCTTTTTGATGTTTAATGTGAATTACACTGGAGTAAACCTAAATCACTGTTCTCATTGTGAATCACTGCAGTTTACTTGAAATAATTTAACATTCACAATTTTGCCTATTTGCAAAAAATTATTAGTGGCCACTTTTTCTGAATTCTCAGACCAAATTAATCTGTTCATGGGCTGAAAATGTGGGCTCCCACTTTCATCTCCTAAATCTACTTCACCTGACCTCAATCAGTCTCTGTTGTAAATGCAAATCCTGGTTAACAAGCAGTTAACATGTTAAGTATAGCAGTGCATCATAGGTTATTCTTTAGTTATCCATTTTCTGTTAGGAAAGTGTTGGATGTACAGATGCAGCCATTCAAAGTGCGCGGCACTGACACGTACCGGAGGTAATTGGCTACGGCCTTGCGCATAGTGACGCGCAGTGACACAAAATACCGCGGTACGTGATTGGTTGACCGACAGGGGCACTCGTGGTCCGTTGGTCGGTCGTAGAAACTTATAACGTAGAAAGATGTCTTTACTGTGCCCGTTTTAGTATTGAATATTTATATGGAATTTTACCACTGAAGGGAAATCTTAGTAGCTGAGCATTAAAAGAATAGGAGCATACTGAAACGCATGTGAAGGCCATAAACGATATTATATGACTGGTCTTGGTACTTTTAAATAAAAAATTCACACCAGTATTCCATTTCTCCCTAAAGATTTTAAGCATCGAAGTCTTTAACTAACGTGATACCGGAGTCAACAAGCATACTTTTAGAATTTGATTAAAAGGGAATATAATATGGAATCGCATATCTAAAGAAATTAATAACGATATAATTATATTCATGTACCACAACACAAGCATAGTACACGTTGTACATTGTTGATAATGTTTCTGTAGGGCTTTTTCAGCACTCCACATGTGACCTTGCCGGTGGCGCTGTGGGTTAGGTTCCTGACCCCCACGTCACATGGTGAGTGTTCGAATCCAGCCGAAGCCATGACTTTTTTTTTAACAAACATTTCTTTGAAAAAATAAAACTTTTCCCTGGGTCACAGATTAAATAAAACCTCACTCGCACCAAACAAATGTATATTTCTAAATATCACAACATGATTGAATTTAAGTCATTTTAATAACAATGAATAGTCACCTATGCATTACAATATAAACATTTATATTGATTTAAATCGCAAACGCGGGTTTAAATATATGTGTTTTTTGATTCACAATCAGACAAATGCAACATAAATTGATATCTTTGTCTTCTAAGTATCTTAATAAACTTTCAGCATAGCTTTCTCCCCGTTTAGATTCATTTTTCTTGGGATCTTGGGATCAAACGTGGAAAGATTAAATTGTAATCGTTTTTATTTTTTAAATACATTTTAGAAAAGTGTAATCTATACTAAAAATCTGTACACCACCTTCTATAAAGATACATATTGTAATACTTTCGGGTTCGGATAGGACAGACACAAGAACTCAGACTTGCGGAGTTAAAGCAAGTTAAAGCCTTGATTTTATATATCACCTTTAAAAGTGGCATCTCAAAGCAAAGTAAATACCCAACACTGATTGTACCCATCTGTCATGCTAATAAAGCACCTTGAATTGAATTGAATCGAGAGAGAGAGGGGAGGAGGGCGAGCGAGAGAGCACAGCCAGGACAGACAGGCAAATAAGATACACTCCACAGACATTCACAACAGCGACATATCATAAAACGTTTGCATATATAGTTAAATTATTACTTGTTTTTCAGGAAGTTAAAAAAACACAGGCATAATCCAGCAAATTAGGAAAACAAAGAACAGGACAGGTGAGATGTGTATCCAGAGAGCGAGTGATCAGAAAAAGGAACAGCTTCTGCGCCCAGGTTTCACTCTCTTAATTAGATGTATTTAAAACAGTGAACTACTGTAGGTGTAACATAACATTCAGAAATAGAATCGAGAATAGTTTTGTGGTGTTTGTATAGATGAAACGTTCTTAAAACGTATAACGTAACAAAATTAAAGACGATTAAAATCTGTAATCTTTCAACTTGTATGTCATCAGAAAATACAAGAAGTTTCTGCTTTGTGTAAGGATGGTATCAAAAAGTAATCTAAATGGTGAGAAAGCTGTGCTCAATGATAATTAAGGGACTTAAAAGTAAAAGGAGATGCTTCATATTGCTTGACTAATTTAAAAAACTAAGTTATAAATGCAGACGCTCTCTCGGTGCCACGCCGGGTCTAAATATCTAAATATACATTCGCCCCAGGCAGAGGTCGAAGAGCGCCCGGCTGGGGTGCGCGGGGAAGAGCAGGACAGGAGTGAAAGTGGTCAGGGCGGGGTTTAGGAAGGCCGCTGACCAGTGCGGCTGTCCCACAGTCTGGGGAGATATTCGTTTTCCTTGTAAATAGTTCCCTGCTTCTGCACCCCTGGGTCTTTCTCTCTCTCGGGCGCGCGGGCAGTGTGTTGGCTCGCGCTTTTGGCGGGCGGGGGCGCTGGAGAGCCGGGCTAGCAGGTGGTGACCGAGAAGAAAAATAAAGGCTTTCACTTCTTTTAACTCCGCAAGTCTGTGTTCTTGTGTCCGTCCTATCCAAACCCGAAAGTATTACAATATGTATCTGTATTACAGGTGGTGTACAGCTTTTTAGAATAGATTACACTTTTCTAAAACGTATTTAAAAAATAAAAATGATTGCAATCTAATCCTTCCACGTTTGATCCCAAAATCCCAAGAAAGATTAATCTAAATGGGGAGGAAGCTATGCTGAAAGTTTATTAGGATACTTAGAAGACAAAGATACTGTATCAATTTCTGTTGCATCTGTCTGATTATGATTCAAAAAACACATATAATTAAACATGCGTTTGCGATTTAAATCAAAACACGATTTAAATCAATATAAATGTTTATATTGTAACGCATACTGTACAGCCTCCAGTTTTCTATAAAAATGTAAAAGATCGTGTGTGCAGCCTAAGAGGGGGGGTCTGCTCTGACAATCCTCCATACACCGATGTGAAATATTAATAATGCCAATGTAAACGTCGTATTAACAATTTGTTGAAAAAACACTTTGTCTAAAGCTTTGTGATAGTTGACCCAGGCAGCAAAAGATCAGCTGCACTGGTAAGATGCGACACCGAAGATATGATTAATAACCTTTTAAATCTGAAGGGAGATCTAAAGGGATCCCCCCCCACACACACAATAGAAGCAGGAAGCAGAAGCAGGGAACGTTGTCAGAAGGGAAGAAGGTGACTATTCATTGTTATCAAAAATGACTTAAATTCCATCATGTTGTGATATTTAGAAATATAAAAGTTAATTAATTGTCCATAATATTGCTATTCTATTTTTTCAAAGAAATGTTTGTTAAAAGAAAAGTCACAGCACCAGCTGGATTTGAACACACAACCTGTTGGTTAGTAATCAGGCACGTAGACCAGTGGGCTACTAGGGAAGTCACATGAAGAGAGGCGAAACAGCCCTACACAACCCTGTTGCAGTACACGAATATAATCATATCGTTATTAATTTCTTTAGATACGCGATTCCATATTATATTAGCAGAAAAGCTTAAAACTACCACTTTTTTACATGCTATTTCACATGTTAGTTAAAGACTTTAATGCTTAAAATGTTTAGGGAGAAAAACCGGTGTGTATTTTTTCTTTAAAGTACCGATTCCTGGAATCTGACTGGCTGACACCCTTCTGAAGTGGTTCCATAATATCTGGTATATGGAAAAGAAAGCGTTGATAAAAAAGCCTGGATTCTCATGTATCTGATACAAGTATCTTTTAATACAGTCTTTGCTGTGCTCTTGAGGATCCTTGTGATATTTTGAGCTCTGGTTGATTGATAAGTGTCTCAGTTTAAATCATTGTCGTAGTTAGAAATTATGAAACGCTCTGTTAAAAGCAAGGGAGTTTTTATGTCCGTTGCAGTAAAAGAAAATGCCTGACAAAGTAGGGCTTGGACAGATTCCAAGTGCTTGTACAAATGTGCTAAAGAATTTATACTTTGAGTTTACAGCTTGTCCAAAGTCATTCATTATTAATACTGTTAGTAATTTCTTCGGTAAAGGCTTTGATGCATAAATATTTGTGATAAAGGTAGGTTGTGTACTTTTGTCCAACTGAGCAATCTTGCTTTCATAAAATATACCAACTTTTTAATGACTGATGATTAACATGCTGTAATACACAGTTTTAAATTTAAAAGCTCAAATGCTGTACATGAGAGGTTAAGCTTTATTGGCTCCTCCTGGTGGTTTTACAAGGTGATGCCGGATACTTTCCGGCATGACGTCAAATGATGCGATATAACCACGTGATACTGCGTGATACTGCGTTTTGATGCGATACGCCCACCGGGGTATACCGCGAAATACCCCACCCATTTTGAGTGGCTGCATCTGTACATTGTGTTTAGACCTATTTTAAGAGTATCACCTGTGAGTTATGCTGAGAAATAAAATAAAAATTGAATAGCAAATTCCACTATGTTATCACAGTCTAAGTGCTTGCAGAAAAGTATAGCTAAAGAAATTAGAAGGTAATTAAACCACAGGAGCAAGAGAGTCTGTGGGTTGAGTGGGAAGTGAGTACACTTTTTCTTGTCTGTTATTACTTTGCTGTAATAAGCATTATTACAGTACAGAGGTGCTGCATTTCTAATAATAAAAATACCAAGAATTAAAAAATGACCTCTAATACAGGGTAAGCTATATTCCTTAACAGTGAATTTTAAATTTATTTGTATGCACAAAAAATAACTTGAATTACAGTGGGAAAACAATGGCTTGAATTCTGACTAGTTGCTAGGAGTTTTACATTATTTGTATATTGTTCACTCAAAAATATGTTTATCCAATGAATGCAGGGTTCTGATGAACGAATAAGTTCCTTTTAGAATAATTTATCAGTCAGCCTTTTTGCTCTGTTCCAGGGACTCTTATTGTATTGAAATGCCCTTATCCTCGGCAAGTAGAGGAACCATCTATCTATGAATCTGTACGAGTGCACACAGCGATGCAGACTGGACGCACAGAGAACGACCTAATTGCAGATGCACCCTCGGTAGGTTCATCTCTTCTTCATCTTCCTGTGATGAGATCTGTGCTTCATGGGACATGACAGTTTTGGAATTTCCAAATAGAAATATAAAGAGAACAAATCGTATCACAGATCTGTGAGGTTTCAGTTTACTTCATATGGAGTTGAAGCTGCAGATCAAAATTTTGAAAGAATACAAAAGTAGAAAAGAGAAGGTAAAATAAGTGCTTTTAAGTGACACTAGTAGAAGGCTAAATGTAAATGCAGTGTTAGACTCAACGTAGTGCAGTGGTTAGCATTGCTGCTTTGCAGCACTGGGGCCCTGGACCTGGTGTGCTGTCTGAGTGGAGTTTATATGTTCTCCCCATATTTGTGTGGGTTTCCTTAGGGTTCTCTGGTTTCCTCCCACAGACCAAAGACATACTGGTAGGACAAATGACTTCAGTGGTATAGGGAATGCTTGTGAAGACTCATGGTAGCTTTGTTATTGTCTGTTAATCATAGATCAGTCTTTAATCTAACTGGGAAAAATGCAAAGGATGAGTTAACAAAACAGTAAACATTATCTTTCTTTTTCTTACAGCTTGGGACTAAGGAGGGATATCTTATCAAACAAGGTGCAATAATCAAGGTGAGACAAGAAAATTGTAATGATTATGTTAAGATTTATGAACATGCATGCTACAAAAATATTAACAAGGGAATTTTTTTCAAGGAAGTGTTCTGCTGTTTGGGTGGAGCCTAGCCTTTAAGTATAGTTCATAAATTGCCTTGATTGACGAACCTTTATAGTCTTCAGTGGTGTATTTTGTCTCATTTGAAAACAATGACAGAGTAGGAACAATAGCACAATAGCAATAGGGCTGTACTGCACTGACAAGGACCAGTCAGGGTGAAATCAGTTTATAGTTCCAGGTTTTTATACTGGATATAATGGCTTGTATGCTGGATGGCTTGCCATGCACCCTAACCTTACATCATTAAAAAATCTTAAGGTATAAGTGATAACTTCAGAGTAAGATGAAAGTGTTATGTGTGGGGGGTAATGGCAATAGCTGATTCTCATTTGAAAACTTACTTGCTCTTACTACGATGAAGTCAGCTGTTTATTACACAAACTGTTTATTGTAAATCCAATATCTTAAAATAATTTGGCCTAATTCTGGTGTAATTTACTGATTTAAATAAGAAATCTGGTCAGCATTTTCAGTGATGCACTAGCTTGAGTAAAATATTTGAAGGGCAGATTTAAAATAATACTAATGAAATAATCAGAAAATGGCTTTTTGTTTGGCTGTAGACTTAGGAGTAGACCAGCAAAAACTTCAACTTGGTTCAAAACATCATGCATTTTATGATTGCTAGCCAATAATATAAAATAAATATCTGGAAACACACATGCCATTATTCATGTGTAGCATTGAACTGTTTTGTTATTTCAGAACTGGAAAACACGATGGTTTACCTTAAATAGGAATGAACTAAAATATTTCAAAGATAAAATGGTAAGTCGCTGTGTTATTAAAGACATTTATCTCTTTACTAAGATAATGTATATCATTATACACTATATAATGCTTTGTAATAAGTATTTTTAAGATCTTTTAACTTTTTTCTCCCTTTAAAGTTTGATGAACCAATTCGTACCCTGGATTTAAAAGAGTGCTCAGCTGTCCAATTTGATTACTCTCAAGAGAAAGTCAACTGTTTTTGGTGAGTTTTTGTACTTTAATTACCACAGTTATATCACCAGCAGTTGACAAGAGTCTGTACTCTTGACAGTTACTGAAGTTACATAATCAATTTGATTTATTATCACAGTTTCTAGGTCTTTACACATTGAAGATTTAAGGTTATCTATAAAATGTGTTGTACTGTGACTTTTGGTTTCAGGGATTCTTGGGAGACTAGATTTATCCTGAGACTTCCCACAAACTAGTTTGTAGAATCATCGTAGAAGGAGTCTGAAAGTTTATCCATTTTGTGACTGTGGAGTGGTCAATGAATAATTACAGGCCTATGAAACAGTTTTAAATTATCTTATTTTAGGTTATATTAGTATTTGGTACATATTAAATTTTGATTTAAAAAACAAGCCATTTTTTGTAACCAATAAAAAGCATTTGAAAATAACATTTTATTCAGCTTTGTTAATGAGAAATGTGATTTATTACAGTTAAATAAGCAAAAGAAAAATAAATACTTAAAACATGCCCTTAGAAAGCAATTTGAAACACTACCGATAATACTATTGAACACGACCATATTGCATAATGGAAGGAAAATTGTTTTGGTGTATATAGTTTTGGGAAGATGTATTATATATAACAATGTCAAGAAACATAAAAGCAGAAATGTTAAAATTTTATAATATAATCTTTGATCAATAAATTGATACTTCACAGAGATCTGGAAGCTCATAAGTGCACGATAATGAGTATCAAAAGAGTTTCAGAAAACCTGAACTGCCCATCCCATCATTTGATCTAAACTCAAGCATGGAGGAGTATGAAACGATTTAAAAAGTTTGATTAAAAACCTTACAGTAGGCTGTGTTCTTCCTGTGAAGTAACTTTAGCCTGCACAATATTGAATGACAAGTGTCCAAATACTGTACTTTTGTGATTTTCTTTAAAAAACTTTGCAACTACAGAATAATTTTTGTCAAATTTTGTATGTGAAACATTAGAATCGTTTACCAACTCTTCTATGGTTGTTGTTGGTACTACTTGTTACTTTATGGACCACTTAAATATAAAAAAGGACAAAGTAGTTTGGATCAAAATATTTATTTATACTTTATTCTACATTTTCAAAGGAAATCTGACTTTTCAGTCCATGCCAGGGCCTTCCTCAAAATGACTAATTTTATGCTGAGTTCTTTTTTTGTATTGTACCTCATTGTTACTGTATATCTGAAACTATGATTCACTCTACTAACAACTGCATTTATGTGGTAATGTATATGATTATTTTTGTTGTTTTTAATGATAATAACAATAGTAATAGTCATAGCAGGTATGCACATTACCATTTAAAGTTATTTCCTTTTGAACAAACTGATGACAGTTAAACCATTTCAGTTGTGCCAGTGTGTGTAATATTGTACTGTGAGGGCAGTTACCTTTTTTTCACTTCCTATCTCTGTGAAACCAGATGGGTTGAACATATTTAGAAAACAGTTCATCTGAATGTTTTAGCTTCAGATGAAAAAGAGGAACAGTGAAAATAAAAAAGGAGAACTTTACACCCTGTTTTTGATCCTCTTTGCAACTTTTCTCAGTAAGAACTTATTTGTATGTTTTCATGGACACAAAAAATTCAAATGATACACCTTTATAATTAGTTCCGGATCATGGGATTTTAACAAATATTAACTCAATAATCATAATGAATAGCAACAGTGTTTGTGTTAAATTAAACTTTATTTCTAAAACAACAAAATGTCATCAGTGCTGTCCCTTTTCATGATTGTTTAATGTTTTTTGGGGTATTTTGGGGTAGATTTTTTTTTTCTTTTGGGTCCTTCGGGTTAGTTAATGACAAGTGTGGCATTGTGGGGGAAAGTGCTGGAAGAAAAAAATATTGAAAGATCTTGGCACAGAAAATGGAAGGCACAACAAAGGCCTTTGTAGTATTTGTAGAACATGTAAAATAGTGTTCACAAAAAATGTTTGTGAACAAAAACTCCTATGCTAGGAGACCAACCAAAAAAGCAGAAGCTAATCATACAAATGAACTAATGAGCGTGTAGTTTAATTCAAAGCAACATGTAGATGCTAGAGTGTGAGCTCTGTAGCAGAAATTGTCAGTACATAGTCACGTATAATGGAATATCTCTTCTAAAGGATAATGCATAAGGATATTAAGTTAAATACACAGGGTTGTGCACCAGGAACGGAATTAATCCAGGAAACGTAAGGCAATGATTCCATTTATATAACCACTAGGCCACATAGCCTGTTTAATTGCTAATTTTATCAATACTTCAATTTCATCAGTACTGTATATTCACAAATGTTGGATTCATGCAAGAAATACAAGCAAAACCAATGTCCAGGTTTCTTCATTTCTCAATTGTAGTTCTTTCCTAATAGGACCTTTCTCATGGTAGCAAGAGGTTTTATAAGATATGTCAAGGACAATTGAGGAAGATTGCAAGTAACGGTAAAAACTTTACTTACAAGCTGTAATTATGAGTACAGTACTGTTATGCTGAATTTACTTGGAGGTAATTGCTAGCCCAGGTTTGGAATGCAAAACTAAAAAAAAATAAAAAATACTACAGACAGGTAGAGAGGCCATCATATTTAGGAGAAGGAGAAAGAAGAATCTCTATAGGTGTTACACTTTATGTAGTCTTGGCACCCTGACGAACAGGTGGCCTTTCTTTGACTGCTGGTTTTCCTCTTTCCAGATAATACAGGGTATTTAACTGCCTTTTTATTGTCAAACTCAGTGCCTTGAGTCACAAATTGCAACAATACTTTCTATGCCCAAGATGGCTGCCATTTATTTCTCTTGTCAAAATAAGTCCTTTACTGCAAACTCCTCATCGAGAAATTGTTTGGCCAAACAATTTTACTGTAGCTCCAAACCTGGAAGGGATCATTCTAGAGATACAATTTTAGAGATACAATTATCTCTCCCTGCTTAGCTGTAATAGTTTATTTCAAGGGGGAAGATCCTTCAGAATGTTC